AGTCTTGGTTGCAAGGGATAGAAAAAAACAAATTAAATAGGCTTATGCAAAAAGGAGAATTTATTAGCTCTTGTAATGGAAAAGTCCAGGGTCTGGCTCAGGCATAGCTGGATCAAGGGGCCCCCAAAGGTGTCACCAAGACCCTATCTCTTCCCTACGCCTCAGCTCTACTTCCCCTGGTGCTGCTTCCTTCCCGGGCAGTCTCTCCATAAGCACAAACGGTCCCCCCCCAGAAGCTCCAGGCTCGTCTGCTGCCAGGTGGCCTCCCCAGCAGAAAGCCAGCCTCCTTCCCTAAGAGTTCCAGAAGAAGGCCAGGACTGACACGAACTGACCCGAACTGGGCCACACGCCTATCCCTGAGCCAGTCACTGGGGCCTGGGGAGCAGAACAGCAGACTGTCGGAGCAGAGGAGCCGGGGGGGTGGCCCGAGGGTGCAGCAAGTGGCTCCCCTGAGGAAAACCCAGGTGCCGTCCTAGAGGAAGAGGGTGGACGCAGCAGGGAGGACCTGCAGGTGCCACCCAGGGATCACCTCATCCGTGCAAGAAAGAGACTGAGGCTCCAAGAGGACCGGGCTGGACGTGCCCCCCAGGTCGGGGGCAAGCAGGCCTGGGAGCAGCGGCACGCGGGTGACATCATGTGGCCCCCTCTCGTGGGCTGGCGTGGCCGCAGCTCCCACACCCACCCCAGCCCAGTCCCTTCACAATTCCACCCCCAGGGGGGAGTGCCAACCCAGTGGCCTCAGAGCAGCCCCTTGTCTCTGGGCCTCGGTTTGCTCGTCTGGAAAGTGGGATGGTAACGAGGCTCCAACCAGCAAGCGAGGCGGCTCCGTGCGGGCTTCTCACCTGCCAGTGCCCCCCAGGGTGGGAGTCCCCAGTCAATGCCAGGGGCACGGGGACGAGGTCTCGGGCCCCTCTGGGCCCTGCGTGCCTCCCCCGAGCTGGACACCAGGAGGACTGACGCCCTGCATCCACGGCCACAGCCCAGGCTGCTGGGACCGGGGTGGGGGGCAGCCACCGCCCTCCCTCTCCCTTCTTCCCTCTGCGAGGCTGGGTGGGACCTGCCCCCTCACAGGCTGTCACACCTCACAGCTCGGCCCCTGCCGCCTCCTCACCCCACCGGCCACCTCCAGCTCCCACCAAACCCTCCCTGGCCACCCGCTGGCTCACGTCCCCCCACTTTCTCCCCACAGCGGGTCAAAGCGATGACCTTTTTGAAACCAGGGCTCCTGCTGACACACGAGGCCCTCACTGAGCACAGAGCCCAGAGCAGCGGCACTCTGGGCTTGTCACTTAACACGCGTGTGAGGGAACGTGTTGCGGGAGTGTGTATGTATGTGTCTGGGGTGAATATATTTGCGTGCATCTGTGTGTACACATATGGGTGTGTGTGCACATGTATTTCTGTGTCTGTGTCTCTGCACGTATGCATGTGTGTGTCTGGTATATTTAAATGTAATGTGTGTGTCTGTGTGCACACATACTGTATGTGAGTCTGGGTGTGTATATGGACACGTCTGTGCCCCTGTGCATGGGGCTGTGTTTCTGTGTGTGTTCTTGTATATACATGGATGTGAGTGTCCACACATAGAATACAGGCGTATGTGGGTGTGTGTGTCCGTGTGTGGGTGCATTTCTGTGTGTGTCTATGCATCTGTGAGTGCGCGCATGAGGGTGAGTGTGCATGTTTCCATGTGTCTCTCTGCCTCCATGAGTATGTGTGTGTCTGCGTGTGTGCATGTGTGTGTGCCTGGCTCCCTGGGTGTGTGGGACCCAGGCTCACACACAGGACCAGGGACGAGGGGACTGATGACATGGGAAGGAGCTGGTGGCCCCCTGGTCCCCTCCCTGTGCAATCTCACTGAGCTGGCTCTAGGGACCTTTTGGAGAAGGGATGGGAAGTCCTCGCCCTCAGAGGACGGTCACAGCCCCGTCACAGTGAGGCTCAGGGTGGTGGCGGCTGGCCAAGCTCACCCTCCTGGCTGGGTGGGATGCCCCTGCATCAGGCCATGCCCTCACCTCCGTGGCAGGCCACCTCCCCCCGCCTCTCCCCGGGGCCCAGGCAACGGTGGCCCCAGTCCTCAGCGTCTCGGTTTCCCCATCTGTGCAGTGGGGACACTGAATGGGCACCTCATGGGTACAGAGACCACCCCTGAGGAGCGGGGTCAGCAGCCCGGACGTCAGCAGTTGTGGTCATTATTGTCACTTGCACTTACTGCTGCTGTGACCGGGAGCTGCCTCCTGTGTGCAGGGACGCTGGCCCTGCGTCCCCGGCTGCCCCTGAGCTCCACGCGGCCCGGCGACTTTGGAAACCCTCTCCCGGGTCTGCCACCATCCAGAGCCCTCAACACTGGGACCCAGGAGGATGTTTATGAGGCCATAGGCCTGTCCCAGAGGCTGCCACCAGCCGATAGTGACAGGAAGCGGGCTGGCCGCCAGTGGCCCTGCAGATAACCCCGCCAGCGCCCGCACCCGCCAGCCCCGCCGTTATCAGCACTGGGAGCCCCATGCTGACCTCGCCGACCCTAGCCACTGTTTGCATACAAAGATCCAGCGGAGGGGGCGGGTGGGGGTCCCGGTAAGAAAGGCCACCCCTGCCCCGCAGTCCGCCCCTGCCCTGGCCAGGAACCCCTATCCCTCCCTGTGCAGAGGCCGGGGGTCCAGACCACAGAAAGGGGGCCTGTAAATCCCAAAGCCAGAGCGACTGGGACAGGCCTGAGGAACCCCCCTGAGGACCCCTGGGGGCGGTGCAGGGAAGGTGGCCCCAGGTCCACCCTGAGCCCCCTCGCCCCATCAGGGTGACCCCATCTCACTGCGAAGTCAAGGCCGACCACGTGGAGCAGTCGGTGGACGCTGGGTCAGACCCCGCTGCCCAGCTCTGCACAGCTGCTTGGCTTCCCCACGCCCTCCTGCCCTGCTCCACCGGATGCTACAGGGACCGGCCTGTCCCCTCTCTGTTCCCCCAGCCCAGTCCTCCCGGCTCAGCCCGCCCAGCACACTCCAAGCTGGACGGATGATCCCCACCCCAACTGGGTCCTCCGCCAGAAATCTCTGATGTTCATTCGCCGTCAGTGGAATCAGGCTCAGACTGCGTGCTGGCCTCAGTTTCCCTGCCGTTCCTGGCACAGCACCAGCTGCAGGGGACACCACAGGAGAAAGGCAGGAAGCCCCTGCCTCCTGGAGTCGGTGTGGGCATGGGACAGGGACAGACGAGGATGCAGATGAAGGGGGACATGGTTCTGCCTGCGACCAGGGTCAGAGGAGGCTTCTGGGACAAAGAAAGTTTTGAGCTGAGTGCTAAAGGAGGAGCTCAGCCGGGAAAAGCTAGAGGCTTCAACAGCGAGTGCAAAGGCCCTGGGGTGGGCTCTGCCCAAGGAACATTGAGGAGGCCAGTGTGCATCGGGGGCAACGAGGCCAGGACCTCATAGGCCAGAGTGAGAACTTTGGCTTTTCCTTCGAGGACGATGGGGAGCCATGGAGGGCTCTGAGCTGGGGGACGTGACCTCACTTATGGTGAAGAGGACCCCTCTGGTTGTGTGTGGAGCATGGACTGTAGTAGAACAAGGGGCCACTGCGAGGGTACAGGAGACTAGGCTGGTGCCCAGACTGTGGTTGGGAGCAGAGAACAGGGTGAAGAAGGGGCAGATCCCAGACAGGCTTGGCAGGTGGAACCTTCTGGACCTGGCAAGTTGGACGTGAGGGTGAGGGAGAGGCGTTCAGAGCCACCTGGACCTGCATGTCTGGCTCGGCAGCTGTGTGGGAGGGGAGGGCGGGAGGAAGGGACAGACCGCGTGTGTGGGGCCAAGCCCTGCTCTGCAGGTCAGGGGAGGACGGGCGGGCGCCTGGAGAGCCACGGCCTCCAAGCCTTTGCTCAGACTGGCCTCCCCACCAGGAGCGCCGGCTCCAGCCCTTCCTCCGGTCACTAGGAGCCCTTCCGTCCGTCTGCCACTCGGTGCCTCCTTCCCCTGGTGGCGTCCTCTCCTCCCCTGGGGCAGGGGCCTCCCCCATGACAGCATGAGTCACACTGTGCTGAGCTTGCTGGGCGGTGTCTGGGTACCGCTCTCCCTCTGCAGCCTGCACTCACAGCAGGATCATCCTCTGGGTCTCTGCTGTCTCCCCAGCTCCAGCCCTGTCACCTCCCTAAGCTCATCTCCTACCTACTTCCCCCTCACTGTCCCTTCTCCAGCCACACTGGCCTTCTTGCCCCATGCCCCCCGCCCCAGGGCCTTTGCACTTGCTGTTCCCTCTGCCTGAACCCAGTCATTCTCCATCAGCCTGTAGTATTTCCTTCACAGTGCTGATCGGTATCTGAAATTACAGTGTCTCCCTGACCAGATCATACACCCCAACGGGCAGGACCCTATCTGTTTGCGATGACTATCCCCAGTGCTTTGCATGTGACCTGGCACACGACATCGCACAGGATGAACAAATGACTGAGCACCTGGAGGAATGAATGAATTCAGACCTCTCCAGCCTTAACACCCCCTCTGTCAGGCCTCCGTGATGTCCCCAGTGCTGAGGAGTGGCTCCAGTTGAACTCTGGAGACGCTGGGACCATCCCCGGATTGCGGCCCCTCAGCCTCAAACCGAGAACTTCCTTCCTGTGACGCTGCGCCCCCAACGCCAGGGCACACCCCCTGCCGCTCTGTGCTCTGGGTAGCGCCCGCGCAGGCTCTGCGGCAGCACCCCCTTCTCTTTGGGAGCTGCCCCCTTTCCGCGGGGGCTGATGGAGCTGCCATCTCCCCGCCACGCCCTGCCCCGCGCGCATCCTGGGCCCACGCTGAGTTGCCGTCCTGTGGGTTCTCAGCCCCGCTGGGGGGGACGTACCCAGGGCAGGATGTCCCTCCCTCCCTCCTTTGTGGCCGTCCACTCGATGCCCGAGGCGGCGCGGGCCGGCACTGGGGGAGCAGCTGTCCATCACCACTGGCTGCCCGCAGGAGGGCCCGAGGCTGGGTGACCGTGGTGCCCACTGTCCCTCTGAGAGAAAAGCTACAGACGAACTTTTTCTTTAAAGAAAACAGGTTTTATTTTTATAATCAGAACATCCTAATAAAAATATTATTATAACATTAGCTACCTTTATCTCCCGGACCCTGAGCCTGTGCCGGGGGCACCGCCAGGCGCTCGCCGGGCCGCAGCCAGAGGCCCCGCTTCCCTGAGGTAGGTCCGGAGGGACAGCCCCAGTGCCCCGCTCCCGGCCAGGCCACCCCTCATCTCACCCTCCCCGCCTCCTCCAAGCAGGGCCGGCCCTCCTGGAGACTCCCCAGGCCCCACCACCCCCTCCAGGAGCCCCCCGGCCTCGCCTCTCCACCGAGCCCCAGGTCTGGCAGCTCGGGGTGGCACCCAACAGGCGGCACCAAGACGGAGGGCAGCACACCATCACGCTCCGAGCCTCCCCACCCAGCTGGCCTGGACGCCGTGGTCCTGCCCACAGCTGCATGCCCTGGGGCCCCATGCCCTCCTGCCCTGGGAGGCGCCGGGTGGCGGGAAGAGGGGCGGGGACAAGCTTCCAAGACAACTTACTGTCGCTGAGCGGGACCTCCTGCTCGGTCCGGAGACGCCCACCCTCCCAGGGCGCCTGCAGGGAGCCAACAGATGCGTGAAATACAGAAACACTGTCACCGTCTCCTGGGGCGGAGCCGTCGACAAAAGGGGATTCCTCAAAGTTACAAATGGGCTCGGGATTCTTGATGGCGGCAATCTCCGTTGAAAAAATAGACTGAAATTCTGAAATCACCTTAGTAGCAAAACTATGATGGTAAGAAAAGAGTTGCGGGGCTTCCCCGGCAGGCAAGGGCGTGGCGGGCTCCTCACGGTTCTGGGCCCTCGGGTCTGGGGGGGCCGCCACGCAGAAATGACACACCTCCCGCCGCCTTCACAGCTTGTGCGGATGGAGCTACAATAAATAGGCAACTCCCTTCACTGGTCCTGGGTTCCCTGGAGTAAGGCATCGCTGAGGGGCAGTTTCTGAGCCACCCAAAGGGTGGCCGGGGTCAGTGGCGGTGGAGGAGGCCCCACCGGGCTGCGGGCGACAGGCCCGTGGGCAGCTCAGTGCAGGGATGGCCGGGAAGCTGGAGGAAGCAGGCTGGTGACGAGCGCGAGCTGGGGCGCGTTTTCAGGTAGCCCTCGGGCATTCCTTTCTCTCTAAGTCCACCCTCAAGTCACATCGGGTCCTGGACTCAAGGAGGCGCGGACTACAGGCTGTCCCCGGGGTGCAGCGGGGTCCCGCGGGGTCTCCAGAGGCACAGGTACGGGCACACCCAGAGCACAGTGGCCGCGACGTGGGCCAGCGGCCTCACTGCATCCGGTCGGGCTGCAGCTGCGGGGGCTGGTACTGCACGAAGGCAGTGGCTGTGGGCGCGGCGGCCGACAGGGCCTGGGGCATGGCAGCCGGGTAGCTGTAGCCCACGAAGCTGGCGGCTGTGGCGGGGGATGCGGCGTACGGGTACTGGTCGTAGGCGGCCGGCGGGTACTGGGCGTAGGCGGGGCTGGCTGGCGTGTACTCGATGTAGGGCGAGGACAGTGGTGGCACCGGGGCGGCGGGGATCACCACGCTGGGCTGGACGATGGCTTGCGGGTAGATGTAGTGGGGGGTCAGCCTGTGGGGCAAGCAGAGGGTCAGGGTCGGCAGGCAGAATGGGGCACTTGCGGGCTGCAGGCTGGAGGGGAGCGGCAGGAAGCCAGGCGAGGCCACGCCCCATCCCCAGTCTCCATTCTTCATCTGCAAAATGGGGGCAAGAACGCAACCAGGCTCCCACGCGCACCCGACGGGCCCCTGCACGCACCACACACACCAACGGGGCCCCTGCACGCACCACACACACCAACGGGGCTCCTGCACGCACCAGCCGGGCCCCCACGCACCACACACACCAACGGGGCTCCTGCATGCACCACACACACCAACGGGGCCCCTGCACGCACCAGCCGGGCCCCCACGCGGCCTCTGCTCTGGCTGGTCCGCCACCCACAGGGCTCCCTCCTCCCCTCCTTCTAGTCTGTCCTTGAAGGTCTCCTCCGGGAGAGCCGGCCCCACATCCATCCACCCACCTCGGGCCGGCTCCATGATCTGCGGCCCACGTTTGAAACAATTAAGCATTTTAAGACGGCGAGAGTGGAGTAGCACACCCAGCAGGGCCCACCGAGCACGGTCCGTGGAGGCTGCCCAGGCCGTGCGGCCGGGAGGCCCGTATGTCGTCCCCACCCCCCACCATCCCCACATCCGCCACCCACCAAGTGACACCCTACATGCTTTCTCATCCAGCGTCTGTCTCCCCAGCCAGAGCCCCGGCCTCTCACCACCGCCCAGCGCGCAGCCGCAGCTCCGTGGCTGCGAGGGCCCGGGAAGCAGGTGGCCACGAGGCCAGGCCCGAGCCACGGGAGGGATGCCTTCCGCGTACAGATGGGTCCACGTGCCCTCAGGTCGGCCTTCGCACTGTCATCACATCTCACAACAGAAAACAGGCTCAGGGGTCAGCAGCTTCCCCAAGTCCCCACAGCGACGAGGCAGCGGGCCTGGACTCCAGGACCTCTCTGCCCCCACGCTGGTCCCAGGCTGCAGACTAACGCGCAATACCATCACCGAAGCACCGCTTACAGCGCACCGGCCCTCCACAGTGGGGATGGACGCCCCCATGTCAAAGATGGGGAAACTGAGGCTCAGGAAGGCAGTATTGGTGTGTGTCTGCTCTGCTAACCAACTGCTGGGTGGCCCTGGGCAAGTGGCTGAGCCTCTCGGAGCCTCACACCCGTCTATAACAGCAGCGCCCACGGCACAGAAGACACTGCTCAGTGTCGGGCCCAGAGCACCGTCCTCGGGCAGACGCCATACCCGTCAGCACCAGCATCGCCTCCTCCTCCCCTTCTCCCACCAGCACGAGTCGCACAGGACGGGGCTGCCTGGGGGCAACATGGAGACCCCGCTTCCTTCTGCCCCTAGAAGATGGGCCCAGGCTCCTGGCCCTGCCCCTGCTCCCAAGAGAAGCTGCTTTGAAAGAAAAAGGCAAGCTCTCCGTCCAGGCTCCCCTACACTGGCAGGGGCAGAAGCTGGGGCAGCTTTGGGGAGCAACTGGGCAGCCAGCTGGCCACTGGGAGTGTGTGCTCCCTTCCCCCAGCCAGGTCCCCTTAGCATGCGAGGAGCCCTCGCTCCGGAACAGAGACAGACGAGCTCAGGGGACCACAGCAGCACCTATAGGAACGGTGAAAAACCAGACACCTCGAGCGCCATCCACAGGGGACAGGGCAGCATCCAGTGTCCCTCCAGACCGGGCCACCCCCGGCAGCGAGCAGGGGAGGCCCGAGCTCAGCCCCAAGCTTCTCCCCTCCACACCAACAGGGGAGAAAACCCAGAGGAACGGAGATGCTGTTATGCAGAATTGAGATATTTATGGGAAATGGTGATACGGCTCATGCTAAGAAAACCAAATGTGTTACGCCCATGCTAGGGATGCGTGGAGCTGAATTGTGTGAAACTGCCATTTTCAGAGGTCTGAGAGTCAACTCATGGCAAGTTCGCAGCATGCGCTGTTCTGGATGCACAGAAAAGGCAGAGGGGGCGGAGAGAGCACCACACGTGGGGCTGAACATCTTTGCCAGGCAAATGGGTTCATGCGCATAATCAGGAAGGAAGAGCACTATTTGCAACAGCCGAGAGTTCACACAACCCAAGTGTCCCTCCACTGAGGAATGGAAGAACCAAGCGTGGTGTGTCCACACTTGGGAATATTACGCAGCCACGAAAAGGGATGAGGCTCTGACATCAACATGGACGAACCAGGAGGACATCACGCTGCGTGGAAGAAGCAGAAAGGGCCACACAAGGGATGCTCCCCTGATACGAAAAGTCTGCAGGAGGCAGATCCAGGAGGCAGCAAGTGGTTAGCCCATCGGGGCTTCCGGGAGGGGAAGGAGAGTGAGTGCTGGTGGGTCTCCTTTTGGGGCGATGAAAAGGTTCTGAACTAGATGGCGGGGATGGCTGCACAACTTCGTGAATATACTTAAGGCCTTAAAATGGTAGGTTTTAGGTTATGTGCACTTTACCACAACAAAAGCACACACATAAGGAACACCTCCTGAGCTGGGGGAACCCCCATGGGGCAGAGCCGGCCGGACAACTGGCACTGGGGCCCCAGGGATCTGGCAGCAAACCCCTGGGGCATGAGAGTCTGGGGCACACCAGGCCCCGTGCCTGAGGGGTCCTGGTTCCCCAGACCGCATCCCCCTGACCACAGCTGGCGGCTGGCCCTCCTAGACAGCACAGCCCAGCAGTTGCCATGACAACACACCCACGCTGGCCACAGGCGGCGCCCCACACCCACACGGCTGACCTTTCGCCTGTCTGTCAGGAGGTCCAGGCGGCTTCCGCCAGGGACCCCACGCCCTGGCTTGGCCACGGCACCCTCGCTCCTGCTCCCCCTCCAGGAGCCCCTGCTGTCCAGCCGTCTCCTCCCCCCCCCACCATGGGAACAGGGCCTCGAACAGAGCCAGGCCTGGGATGAATCCCGCTCGGCCCCCCATGCTGTGACAGCCTTCTCAGCTGCCGGCAGGTCTCAGAGCCAGGAGACCACACAACCCCTGGCCTCCCAGAGCCTGGATTCTAGGAGAGGGACAGGCACCCAAACACACCAACCCATGAGCCAGAGCCAGGACTCCTGGGGGGGGGGCGCCAAGGAACCGGGGGAGGGGGGCTGCCCGGAGGAGGTGGCAACTTGATGGAGCTGGAGTTCCTGGCCGTCTCCCCTGCTGGATCTCCCGTGAGCGGGGAGGGCTCTGCTCTGACGCCCACGCCTCGCCCACGGCCTGGCTGTGGAAGGTGCTGGGCACAGGGCCCTCGCAGAAAGATGAGGGCCTTCCCCACCGGGACGCGAGTGAGGAGACACGACGAAGCACGCATGCATGCCTTGGCGCAGCGTCCACAATGCCACGGCGTCACCGGGCCCCGCGAGCCACACTCGGCTCCTTCAACCTCAGCAACAGTCCTTATTTGGAGACCACGGGCAGGGTGGCCTGCCTGAGACGCCCCGACACATCCGCTAACGACGTGGGGCCCCGCAGACGCATGTCAGCCGGTCCGGGACCCGTGTGACAGGCCCCGGGTCCTGACACGCCCGCACTCGAGAGCCCTGGTCAGGCCGGGGCCCCGCTGTCCACGGCAGGACCTGCGCTTTACAAACGACCCGCTTGAGGCCCCGCCAGGCAGCCAGCGCTCCCCAGGCCAGGTCAGGACCACCTGGAGCCGCCCTGCTTGGACGTCGGACACAGCAAGGGCGAATACTTTGTCAGTTGGGGAGGAAGGGGGACTCCCCTGTCCCCCGACCTGTGGGGACACTGTGTCTACATCTATTCACCTGTCACCGAGGGCTCTGACCCCCATTCTGTGTGTGGAAAGCCCGGAAGAACTTAGGGAGCTTTCCACAGCCCAAAACAGGGGCTGTTGTTACCCTGTTTCCCAGAGAGAGAAACTGAGGCTCAGAGAGGCCCAAGTGACTTGCACCATCACACAGCCAGGGAGTGGCAAAGCAGAGTCTGACCCCTGTCCATCTGCTGCCCGGGACCTGTGGCCACAAGGACTGGCTGCGGGCTGGGGCCTGTGACCCCAGGCCCAACTCAGGGTCAGCGTGGGCCCCCAGGAGGCCGCCCAGATGGCAGAGCGGCCCCCGTACCATGCGCACCCGTCCAAGAGCCAGCAGCCCCCGGTGATTCCGCCCCCACCAAGGGGCCCAGTGCGTGTACAGAGACCGGCCCCAGACAGGTGCGCGCCCAGACCTGGGTCAGGACGGAAGGAAGGGGCGGCGGACGCTGGGTTCTGCCACACGTGAGGCCCGAGGACAGGGGAGGGGAAGGAAGTCAGGGCCCCGGCAGGCGGGGGACCGAGCCCCAGGCAGTTGCCCCCGTCCGCCCCTCCGCTCTGCACTCAGACGGTGACAGAGCCCCTGCGTCTCAGTCCCCTCGGCTGCACATGGGTCTCGCAGAGGCTGACCGCCGGCTTGCTGTGAGAACCGAAACCCTGCACTGGAACAGCCTTCTCAGCCAGGGCGGCTGTGCCCCCAGGGGACCCTGGGTCACGTCTTGGGCACTTCCGGTTGTCACACTGGGGGCGGGGTGGGGAGTGCCACTGGCTCGGGGGGTGGAGAGCAGGGACCCCGCTCACATCCTCCTTCGCACAGGCCGGCCCCCTGGGGAGCACCGTCCAGCACCGTGCTGAAGCCCAGACCCCACCTCAAACCCCCAGGAGAAGGGCAAGGACGAGGACTTCTCACTGCTCTCGTGACCACAGAGCTGGGGGCGTGCACACACACACACACGTGCACACACACATCACACACGGGAACCCGCTGAGCTCCTCGGTGAGAAAGCAAACCAAGCCAAACTCTGGCAGCCCCTCGCCCCGCCCACCGCCAGCCCCACTTCCTCCTCCCAGCCCCAAACCGCCCTGTCACTTCCCTTCTGCTCTGCTGTCCTCCCTCCGAGGATGTAAGCCACACGAGGGCAGGGACCTGGCCTTGACCGCTGGGTCCCGAGGGCCCAGCACAGCATCAGTCGAGTGCCGAGGGCCTCGGGCAGGCCCCAGCCTTGCCAGCACCTGGTGGCAAAGGAGCCC